ACGAGCCGTTTTTAATTAACGACCGGGACGTTCGGCGAAATTAATTTTCACTTCATTTCTCCTACGGTCCATCTTTTTCCTTTCCCCCCGTCACGTTGAAAAAACATAAATTATTGTCCAGGAATAAATGATCATCGTCCTGATAATTATTCAATTTACATTTCCGTCAAGTTGCACTCCCATTTATTGTTTTCTTTTTTTCACGCTGGGCGGAAAGGAAAATGAAATGTCTACGGTACCGTTTAAATGAACGGAAATAATCGATTTCACGAATTGTGGAACGTGAAATAATATTGAAATTTTCGATGTAATGAAATTTATTTGTAAATATTCTTTTGTTTTCTCTAACAGTTCGAACAATGATATACGAACGATCTATTTTTGGAGATACGTGCGACCGATATAATTTTCTCGCATGATCTTCAATGTTTCATCGATTAAGATTGTAGAGAGTAGAGTACCATGAACGACGAGAAGCTCACTTGAATTATCTTTTAACAAGTGAAATCGTATGTTAGTCATGTTGTAGCGAGTGTTCAAAGTACTAGAATAATTCGACTTACGGATGAGAAATTTTCAATTGTTACGTCCTGGTAATCGCCAATACGGAGGCCTACTGGTTCGAAGCTTCTGTTCATTATGATCAGTACTAGTTTCTGTATTTTTAGAGGCGCGTCGTACCATCGTGAATAAAACCTGACGAACAATATATCGACGTGCGTTACGAAAAGTAGCACGTCTCATTTGTCTCACGAAAACCAGCACGTTTTGTCTTCATTGTCGCGAGAAATATCGCGTTTTGTTATTCTTTGAAAAAGTAGCGCATTTAAATTGCTGGCTACGAAAAATAGCATGTCTCGTTTTTCGCTGCGAAAATTAACACGTTCTAGTGATTTGCCACAACAAGTAGTATTTGTAGTATCAAAAAGACGTACATATGTACATTTGAATGGTTGGCTAAGAAGTAAAGTATGTTTAGCTTTCTACCACAGCAACCGACAAGATTTGATTCTTTTTTCGACCATGTAAGTCGGATACGATCGAATTTGATCTAGACATATTCCACGCTTAATTGACTCAGGCTCTGGCGAGGGTCACGACTGTTATCGAGGGAGGTAAGTGTTCTGGAAATTGCCGGCTGTTATCTCTCTTCGATTCGTTCCCTTCTTGAGTGCATCTTCTTTACTTGAGTACGGATGATGCTGATATGCGTCATGGAGATTTTCATCTGTCTCAAAATAAATTTATAAAACTGTAGAGTAACTGTTTTTTTTTAATTCTACCATACCGAGTACGAGCTGCGTACTCGCTCGACCCCCCGTGGCCTCAGGTAGCGGACAGCGGCTCGTGCGCCCCCAAACCTGCGAAAAGGCTTGACCCACCCTGATTGGTCGGGTCTAGCCTTCCTGAAACATATAAAAGACGGCTTTTCGCCATAGGAAATCAGTCCTTCCGGGAAAGCCGAAGCAAGACTACTCTAGCAAACATCGAGCAGACGTCTCCTTCGCGGATTTATAGACGACACTCATTGTCCTTGCAAAAAGTCAGCACGGAGCGAACGAAGACTCCAGGACCAGGTTTCCTGTCCTGTTTCTACCCTAGTCATCTTCACCTATCGACCTCCTAGAGGCAGACGCTCCTACGCGGGTCATAGCGACACCTCCGGGTTGAATGCAATTCTCCCAAATACCCCCAAAGAGAAAACAGACGTCTCTTACGCGGGACATAGACGACAATTTCTCTTCCCTTTCTACTCTCTCCCTCTTTCTCTCTTACCCCCTCCTCTCCTTGGGAAATCTGGCCGAGTAAAGGCGTAAAACCATTGACAATAGACGTATCCGCGACCCCTCGCCGAAAACCGACCGAGTCGCGCCTCAACTTGTATATTCTGTGATTTGTACCGCGAATCCACCGATTTAAATAAAGTGTTTACCATCATCCACTCTACAAGTTATTATTTATTAAACAATATTGTCAAAGGTTCAATTTTTCTATGCAAAATACATTTCAACAATTTGAACTGCTAGTTTTCGCCGCAAAATCCAAAATGTGCTATTCTTCGTCGCGAAACAGTATAATGTTTTCGCGGCGGAAAACTAAACGTTGCTAATATTCATAAGAAACGATGAAATGTGCTTCTTTACGTGGCAAACTGTCACATGCTGTTCTCCGTTAGACAAATGAAACATACTACTTTTGCGTAAAGCACGTCGATATGTTATTGTTACATATGATTTTCGATCATTGGATTTTATGGCCACTGAAATTTCACTATTTTAACCCTCCGTTACTTGCGTCCAAATTCTAAGTCCAAAAGTTTGTTTTGTTCCCACGAACAAGAAAAACAGTATCTAGCACGATGGCCTTCTGTAGTCTCGATATATATTTAAAAGCATATTGAATGATGAGTAAAGTTGTAAAGTAAATGTGCTATTAATAAATAGAGAAAGAAACAGTTATACTTTGCGGAGTGTGATCCCTCAGACTTGCAACGAAGGATTGAAATAATCAACTCACGAAGAATTGCATATATTTCGATAGAAGGATGATAAAAGTAATACTTTTCTGAATACTGACATTCGATACAAGATATCCGAGCTGTTATCCAACAATTTCTGCATCGGAAAGGTGTTCATAAATATCAGAAGCAGGTAACCAACCACGTGCACCCCGCCGAGTATTATTTCTTCAAGTTTCGAGCACATAAACATCTGTATTAGATGACAGTAACGTCCATTAATAAACATTCCTCGCAACTTAATCGGTTATGAAGCAATGTCTTTCATAGATTGCCCAATTCAGCCGTAAAATTCGTACTACGATATACCGGGTGTCATTTTTAATTAGACACGATGGAATATGTCTGAAGGAACTGAAGTTATCGATAGAAAAATGTTCTTATAAAAGTTGTCTTGTATAATGGGCGACACAATGTGGCATAAATACACCCATCCCTCCATTTACGCGGATTGACCGTTCCGCGTGTAAGAGTATGGTCGAGCGAGTGTTGGGACTCGCGCTGGTTTATGACCCGCAGACCGAGAGGACCGCGGAAAAACGCTGTCCCAACACCTTGACACCCCCACGCGCTAAGGGCTGGGTCAGGTAAGGACCCAGCCACGTGCTCGCGCGACGCGGACCTTGCTCCGTAGAAACCCCCAACCTGAGCCAGGGTTTCTCGGAGGCAAGAGAGGAGCGTCAAGGCATACATACATATAAGGACGCGTTGAATAAGACTAACAAGGGAACTTCGATAACCCGAAATATCCGATTTTTTTTTAAGTTTGTAGGAGACCTCGAGAGAATTATCGGGCAATTTTTTTTATCGGCCCAATTTCGGTTCTTCGGGGTGAAAACAACCCTTGAATGAAGAAAAGTGTACCCTATTTCCCTGTATATCTTTAAAACTATAGTAGATACAAAAAATGTTTATAATAAAAATTAAACGGCTTTTTATGCCTTATAAGACTGTGCTATTAAATTAATAAATATTCTTTTTTTTAATAAAAAATCTTCCACTACATATCGAAAAATATGTCAAAAGCAAAAATAAGTTTTATTCGGTGTCAGAATCTGTACTGTAAAACTTAAATCGTAGAAAAAGGGGTTAAGGAAAAAACCAAAAGAGGTCAAAGTTATTTAATTAGTACGTTCAAGTAAGAATTTGCGTCTCTCTGATATGTAATAAGTTCAATGAAAGTTTATAGAATACTGAACATATCTGACCGCGTATAAAGTGTACCGCGTAAATGGAGGGGTGGGTGTATCTGTTTTCACAGGTGAAGTAGTGTTCAAGTTTATTTTTTTAACTGGTACGCTATATATACTTTTTCGTAATATAATAGCGTGTGATGGAAAGGTTTTTCGTTTCATGAAAAATCGGAGATTCAGGTCAACACACGTGTCGCACGTCTTTACCCAGCTGAACCCTAGTTGACTGTATTACAAATTCCCCACGATGTGTCTTAACGTGGCTCATCGCTGCATTCATCTCAACAAACGCTATGAAAAAATGAACAATAGAAAAATATAGCACTCCGTTAAAAAAAATAAACTTAACCTTGAAATCTCTTCGATTACTTTACCCGCGAAGAAATTATTAGGTCGTTGTATACGAAACGGTGCCATTACATAAAAAGCTGGCCAAAATTCAATTTTCGAAGCATAGAGCAGCTTTTTGCTACTATAGCAGATTTGTTGTGTACAGGGTGTCCCAGGTTTTAATGGCCAAACGTTGTCAGTATATTCTATGTGTCGAAATAAAAAAAAAAAAATGTCATACGAACGTAGGTCTTTTAGAGCTTCGTTAAAAAGTTATGGCGGTAATACGAAATAAAGGAAACAATAGCAGACTCACGGTTACTGCGATGTAATACAGAAATAGATCTTTGAGAAATTAGAAGGATTAGTATACTAGATAACGAAAATTGTAAAGGTCACATTTAACAAAAATTTAAAAAATACGTTTTGTAGATTTAAATCAATTATACTTTCGCATACTTCCGTGATCGCACGTTGTTTGAGTTTTATCAGCGTTTATCCAAATATTGGCTACCTAAGTAGATATCTTTTCTTCAAGATTTTATGCTTTCACGCTCTATATAGTTATAATAGAATAAATATTAAAGGAAGATTTTAAAGTTTGTGCGTTAGACGATCTATTGAAACAGTTTTTTTTATACATAAATAATTCAGGATTGTGTAGAGTATTGAATTCAAAATGATCGTTCGGGGCTGGTTGACTAACTACATGACTAGCTGGTCAACTGATTGAAAGTTAGTCAATAACTTATTTATAAAGTTAGGTCACATAAGAATTACAGTTATATGTTTATAATTTATGTTTCTATAATTCTCTAAGTTTTTCTTGCAATTGTAAAGGTTCAAATTGTAATTTTGATGTTAAATCAGCGATTTCCATGTTTCGCTTAAAATTGATTAACTTATATTATAATCTATGTTTAATTTGTTGAAAAAAATTTTTAGTTTATTATTAAAATGTGAGAGAAAGATAAGTAATATTTTATAATAAAACAACTTTATCGACACTATGTTACTTTATTACCACTAAAATAAATTGCAAATAACATTTTCTTAACCGATTGTACCTATACTCGACCTACCCCATACTGGGGTACCATGACCAGCTTGCAACGTGTTAGCAAATTGTTGTAACGTTAAGTCGACTTTAATAATTGAATCAGGTAGTCAAATATATGTCTTACCAAATACAATAACCGTTACAATGATGTTTCGCCCAAATGATTGATTAAAAATCGAAAAGTGAAAACTAGCCTACTAGCCCCGATCTCCCCTACTAATCCTTCTAACTTCTCAAAAGAACTCAAGTCATTTGGTCCAATTTAAAAAAAGTTATAATGTTCCAAATAGTGTCCGAATATTAATGCAAGAAACAGAATGCAAAATTAGCGTAGTATCGGGGCCTCCATACCCAAAAATAGGAAACCGGCAAGGGAGGATAGAGAGGGAGTCGTTGGCGTAGCGCGCAAAGCCTGGGCTTGGTAAGCGTCCCGGGTTCGATTCCCGCTTGGGTCCCTCAATATTTTTCCGTCGTCGGTGCCTACATTAGGATGAATAAAATTGATAACGCTTTATCGCTTCGCAGGAAAAATGAATGACCCCTCGCTATTGTTTTCCCTTTTTATAAGGTCTTTACGACCCGCGCTCGCTCTCTATCACTCTCACGCACTATCTTGGCAACTCGCATTCGCACAAACACACTCGCTCTTGTTTAATCACAAGGAACGTCGGAAGAACACGGCCTTCCGAGTTCGTTGCCCTCGTTTCGCCTATTCGTATCGCAGGGTTTTCAACAAAAAAGCAAGCTCGACCATATGCTCGGCACGTGCCGGTCATTAACCTCCTACATCAATGAGAGTCACTGTATGTAAATACCTAACATATTCTACCGTTTCTAGTTAAATCAGACACCCTGTATAAATCTCTAGGAATACGAATGGTGCAAAGAGTGATTTGATTGAGTGTTAGAAGTACCACTTACTCGAAGCATGATGACAGTAATAATGATCGGATTCAGGGAGCCTTGTACGACATAGGACGCGTTGTAGCAATCCATTATTAGCTTGACGTTACTTCGTTTCGTTGAGGCAGATTTTTCGTTGAAAAACATCATCGTTATACAATTTACTCTAAAAAACATTTTCTTCAACAGAAAGATAGAGAAAGATACCAACTGTATAGTCTGCTGATGAAATCTCACGCAACGAGCAATTTTCATCTGGAGAAAATGGCTTCCAGCGTTACCATGGAGTGGCGGTTGCTTTTTATCTCGATTATCGTCCATAAAATGTTCCAATCTGTCGCTGAAAAATTGATTCGAGTGTTAATAAAAGAATTTCATCTCTGACCGTGTTCTTTTTGTCTCCTCGCGAAAATGTTCTCGCGCGACGAATTATGTTTACCCGAGAATATTGAATTTGGCGCAAACGTGGAACATGAAGAATATGAAAATTGAATCGACAGCCGTGGCGACCGTCAGACCAAGGGTAACGGTCCCGAGCATGTGCAACGCGATTGGTAGGAAATATTTTTGCTGGTCGACGAAATATTCGCCGGCGTACGGCAGTACATGGTGTCGGGATTCGTTTAGAGGCGCTATCACGTCGATAATGTACGGCAGGAATTGCACTATTGCGTAGGAAAATATTCCAATGTATACGAATCCTGTAGTAATTAGGAAAAAGAAACGGAGAGTAGTATAGCTTTATAGACATAAATTGCATTGTTAAAGTTAAGAAAAAAAAAAAAGAAGAAATATTCTGGGAGAATGATAGATATTAGACGATCGTAAAAGTTCGTGCCTGATTTTCAGAGGTTGTGGGAACCTTATCGACTACGTAACAGATGTTTGTTTCAGCGTCATGTTACATGCCTATCGAAAGATACACCGCTTGTGTTTCATTTTCAAATAATTGTTCGTTTCATTTTATTTTCAAATGAAGTGTGCCTTCGCACACACCGTTTGTGTTTGATTTTCAAATCGGGCACGAACTTTTGTAATCATCCAACACGTTATACAAATTTCTTGAATCTTTTTCTTCTTGGCTTTTCATAAATAACACAATTTGATTCGATGAAACATTCGAATGTTGAAAAGGGAATCGTAAGAAAATAACGTAATACACAATCTTCTCAATTTACGTGCTATTTGTATAAATTCTTGGAAATTTCTCTTACCGATATAAAAAAGCATCAATTTTCCGCCCACAGCGGCGTGCATCTTTAAAACCTTTGTCTCGTTAGCGTTGTTGAGCACGGTCCAATCGTGCCTGAGGTTCTCCAACAGTTTGAACAGCTGCGAGAACGTACATTCTTTTCTTTGTCTTCCTTTTGTTTAACGAATTACTGGGTATAATGAAATTTAATTAATCAGCAGTACATTTATTAAATTCTACCCGGAAAATTACGAATCTCTCTCTCTCTTTCTCTTGATCTGCTGATTCGTGTAACGAACGAACAAAACAATAACCATGAAAATGTTTGTTATAGCGAGGTTCTTTGTTGTTCAAAGGACAGTTTAATTGCCGCGTAATTCATTTTCTCGCGATCGAACGTACTGGGTGGTCGAGAAACGACTGTTTACAGAATCGTGCACAACTTACAACGTCTCCTTTCAACGAGTAGAACAGATATTTCGCCATACAGAGTATGTTGACCAGAGACGGTGACAGAACGAGAACTAACAACTCGAAGTTCATCTCTGACGTCCAAAGTAAGCACATCTGTGAAAAACAGATTTTCGTGGTAGTAAATTGTCGTGAGAAAAATTTGGTGAAATTACGCGTTGCTGGAACTTCGAAGCTTGTTCGAGTGAAAAATTCGTATCGAGAAAACATTGTATTCGTTGAAATTTATTTTTTAATAATAATAATAGTGATAATTTTCTTTAATCCAGTAAAGTATTTGCAATCGAACGAACAATAAGTAAATGTTACGGCGATGATTTGAATCGATGGTAATAATAAAATTCATTTTTTTTATTCATTAACCCTTTGCACTCGAAGGCCCTTTTTTCTATAAGGAAATAGAAAATCAGAGCTTGTTTGCTCGATAAAAGTAATGAAATATTTTTAAACTGTGGCGGGGACGTCGTCGTCAACAAACCCTTACCGAATTTCGTTCTATTCTTCCACGCGAACTTTCTCTATTCCAACTCCTTCAGATTTTAGTTTCCGTTCTTTTGTCTCTCCCCGGGTTAAGACTTGCCTTCGTCCTCGAGTAGCCTAAGAAGCGCACATGTGGCATCCAGGTTCGCACGAGGACGAACGGCCCCGCTTTCTACGAATTTTCTATCTTTATCTATCGCTACCCCTGTCTCCCTGTCCTAACAATATAAAAACCCAGTACGCCTACACCTCGAGACAGTTTGTTCCCTTACCCGCGACGTACCCGCCGAACTGCTGCCGCAGGGACAATTAACGAATAAAACGATTGTATTTTCTGGACTAAATTGTACGCCGACCATAACACTTGTATTTTAATAAATTGAGGTGAAAACAGTGTAACGACTGTTTTCTGTTTATTTTATATGAGAAATCGTAAGGAGAAAATATCCCTCGATGAAATTCATACACATCACTGTACGTTATACGAATTTAAGAAAAAGTAGATGTGCGTATCAAGCCTGCAAAAATATTTGTCAAGTATATAGAGAATAAGCTGTAAATGAAAGAACCTGTCAACGATCGTTATTGGCTGTAATCCAGCTAAATAGACATCGAACTGCAGAAATTGTGGATTTTTATCGTACAACCAGATTAATTGTAAAGAAAACTTCGTTCTCTTCGAATAGTATTTAAATTCGATACGTGGATTCCTCACGAATTATCCGAAAATGTTTTCATTACGAAAAACCGATACAACTTCTGCATTTATCCAATACCTATAAAAAGTATATGAAAATATTCCTCTTAGGAATGCAATATATACAATAAAAATGTCTTGAAAATTCAATAAACAATCCAAAAACTCGATGGCGAGCTTTGTCGTCAAAAATTTGTATATCTAAGAAGAACAAATTTTATGATAATAATACAGTGCAATAATAATTCATTAAGCATTTAATAAACAACCCAAAAACTTGAAACTAAGGTCTGTCGTCCAAAATTTGCACATCTAAGCAGAACATATTTAATAATAATAGTACAATACAATAATAATTCATTGAACATTTAATAAACAACCCAAAAACTCGAAAGTGAGGTCTGTCGTCCAAAATTTGCATATCTAAGCAGAACAGATTTCATAATAATAAATTATCGTGAGCAAGTACAGTACAATAATAATTCATTAAAAATTTACTAAACAACTCAAAAACTCATTAATAGTTCACGGAAGCCTACAAGAATTGTAACACCAAGGATGTCGCAGGAAAAAAAATCGAAACACCTTACCTGCACGCCGAGATAAGACAACAGGTACGAATAAATGAAGATCTGCTTGCACATCTTGGTCCACGAGTGATCGTAGGGCCACTGACCGATCAAGATCAACAAGAACTTGCTGATCTTGTAGTATCGATTCTGAAACAAGTCCATAGCGAAGCAACAGCCAGCAAGCTTCTGTTTCCTCGATTATTTCAACCCTTTGTTCGAGCTCTACCATTCCCCTTCTTTCTTCCATTCTTCGAATCATGCATTCATACATAATTGACGGAAATAATGTTAGTTTCTTCCAACGTGTATTCGCAAATTATTCTTAATGATAGCTGCAGCTGTGAAATCGAGAACGGCAGAGGGAAAATCCCAAGTTTCGTTGGGGGTACGTGAAAAAAAGGGTTGAGCGAGTAAATGCTGTGCGATCAACGTTCCCCTTCTTCGTTTGAGTGACAGGTTCGCATGACGAAGTCAATAAACGCTTTTTTTTTGCGTCTTCGTGGGGTGAATTTCACGATCGGCGATTTTCAAAGCAGAAAGGCTTTTCAGTCGTTCTGTGGCCAACGTTCCGTGAACTTCGTCCAGTTTTCTTTCTTTCAGACGAAGTACAGAAGCAGAATAACGAAACGTTCGTTGAATCACGTCGAGAAAGTTTCTTCCTTCCATTGGTACAAAGTCTACGACACTTTGGTTGACTTTGGAAGTAAAATAGTTGAAATATTTGGACGAGGAATTGATTAGCAAGGTAACATTAAGAATATACAACAATGTGAATGTTCAACTGAGCAAAATTGTTTCCTTTTCGTGAGGTATGTATTAGGTTGATGCAAATGAAATGTCAGTTTTCTAACAGCTGAGATTGGCAGGTCGGTGTCATATATTAAATTTTGTCCGATCATAAATTTTTATACACAATAGTCGAGAAGAAGAAAGACGTGGTACACGTGTATTGAATATTAAAAACATTTGTTTGGACAATATTTTCTGATATGAAGAACAATTGCGATATTCGTCTGTCTTTATATAAGTTTAAATTAAATATAAATTTAGATCATTTTTAAGAAAATATAAATTTAGCATTGGAAGAAGGTTAGGTAAATGTTGGGACACTTCTGCGTTGTTGAGCAAAATTCAGCATTGGTGACTTTTCATTGGAAAATGAGATAAGTGGAAGACCAGATAAGACTGTCGATGATTACGTTTTAAGCAAAATTATTGAAAGC